ATGAGAGATGCCTTCTCAAAAAAAAAAAAAAAAGACACAGACACTGGGGTTGTAATAAGATTTGTGTTGCAATGTGGCTATAATCACCAGTCACCCAGGGAGTGGTGGGTGATAGGATTTAAAGGTGATAATGGAAAAATAGTAGGAAGTTTTCAATCCAATATGATAGGAAGATGGTAAAGTCAAAATAGGGAAGCTTGGAGTCAATCGGAGTGCCTCTTCTTTAATGTGACTCTAGCACACTGACATGATAGGCTGTTGCTGTCAGATGGTGCTTGGTGCTCAAAAGGGGATATAAAATATAAAACATCTGTTCACCGAAGATTATGCAGTTAACCAATCAAAGGAAACATTTGGTTACAGAGAAAGAATTTTAATCAATGGGTCAAAAAACTTCCATAACTGTGTTGAACATAATATATGCAATATTAAATTCCAGTTAATACATGAATTGTTTTTCTATGTGGCAACATGTCACACTGAGCAAACCTGATATATCATAGTCTGACTGGTCATTCCTTGTTAGAAAGCTTTGATGCAAGACTTTTTAAACAAATCATACTCCCAGAATACACTTAAAATAGAGCTTGATCTTTTAAAATTGATTTGCACATAATTTTATAGAGAATATCTATTGGTTAAAATAAGGTATATCTGTGCTGTAGTTTCCTGAGCACACACTTAATTTCTGATACAGGAAGTTTTTCCTATACATCAAAATGAAATTTAATTTTATGAAAAAATAATTTAGCTCCTGAGGTATGCATCATGAAGGCATGCACATATGTAAGTACATAGTGAAAGGACAGTGCACAATGATGCACAACACAGTATACCACAAATGAACATAGTTCCCAATCATACAACTCTCCCCTTTACAAAATGTGTCTAACCCAAAACACTCCAAGGAAGTACCTGTGTGGCATGGCCCAGGCACCCTATGGGTATGTGTATATGTGCAAGGATGGGTAAGCCATTATGGTGGTGCAGCCACTCTTTGTGGCAGGATATTTGTTCCTGGGCCAGTTTGGCTTCATATCTGGAGCCAGCTCTTGGCTGGGGTTTGTGCTTCTCTTTGGAGAGTGTGATATAAATCTTGGCTTCTCTTTCTGTGCAAACAAGACAAAAGTTGAATTGCTTTATGTTGCAATTTCTAAAGTTATAGTAGAGTTGGGGTTGGTTTTACAAGATTATTGAGAATGTTCTGCAAATACTAAAGTAGCTAATTTGTTACAGAGCAGAGGTGAATCAAGCATTTGCCTTAGTTGTCTCAGGTGGCCAAAGAAAGGCCCATGGGCAATATTTTAATTGCCCTGAGAAGTTAAGTTCAGAGACAGCATTTTATAAACTGCCTAGAAACATTACATAAAGGAAGCAACAAACTTTATCTATCAAGAAAAGAGACTCTCCCATTTTTTAAAACTGCTCTTGCTACATGCCATGGAAGTTAAATGCTTACATCTCTGTAAGAGGAATATTACATTAGAAATTTTGATAAAATGAAGTCAAGGTAAAGGTTTGGATGGCATTCATCCTCTACATTCAATCTAACTGAATCTCTGGTTACATGTTACAGTCTAATCAGCACATTTCATCTGTGGGATATGGTTTTAGCTATCCATAGACTTCTTGTAATGAATGATGAATGAGGAAAGAGGATGATCATCACTTATCAGTTGGGACTGAAATCCTCTTTGATCTGACTTTACTTATACCTATCTTTTCCTTGCTCTTCAGCTGCTATCACACCATGATGGTTGGACTTTCCTTTCATCCCTCTTAGAGGATCATCTCCTTAAGGTAAGGAACATATCTTACTGTCCTCCAAGGGCCCTGCATATAGTAAGTTCTCCATAAGATACTAATGGGTAAATGAGAGCAGCAACTTGAGAATTCCCAACCAACAGATGAGGGCAGACAGCAAGGACTTCATCTTGGGAGAACTGTCCATTCTATATCTAGTGTACCACATTGATCCAGTGGTTCTCAATATTTATGCCACCTGGACATGTAAGCAGCCCCTCCCACAGACACACTAGTGCTATATGAAATGACAGCTTACTGTTTCTTCACCTCTTATTCTTTCCACTCAGTAAAGAATATGCAAGTACAAATGAATCAGAAGACAGATGTTACTGCAGGGATAAATATGAATTTATTGTAACTTATTCTTTTAAAAAATATTTTTTTCACAAACCTCAATATTGAATCATCGCTGGTAACACTGGACATGAGGCACACCTCACACCTGATGCAGCACCCTCGTTTGTTGTTAACATCTCCTAGGGCTGAGAACTGCTGCATTATTCACTACCACTGTTTTACCTGAAATGTTGCAATGGAGTCACAAAATAAGATCAGCATAACAAATGCTGAAATAACACTAAATTCTTCATGGCAAGGTTTTAGCTCCGGGTGGGGTTCCTCTAGTCCTGTGGTACCTTGTGGGCTGTGCCCCATGGTGGTCAGGCGGTTTGTTGCCTGAGGGTGCAAACTACCTTAGATGTGCACCTGAGCAGAACAAATCTGAGCAGGTGAAACTGCAGATGGTGGATCACCACCCCTCCAAATGACACAGTACATTTGAAAACCAAATAAAATAATTGGTGGAATCTATGTATATCTATTAAATGAAATACCTGTATTCTCTCTTTATTCTTCATCAGAATCAAGGTGGTCAATTTTGTTGGGTGCAGGGGGGTGCCTTTGTTTCTTCCAGTTAATTGTAACTGAAATGATAAATGAACATATTCTCATTAAATTTTTCACTTGAACAAGTATGAATATATAGAATATACATTATTTGAGTGATTTTTATTCATGCATATTAATTGATTTTGATACTCAACAAGAAAAGAAAGGCAGGACACAAACATAAAATAATTAGAAGAAAAGGAGGAAACTAATATTTATTGAGGGCCTATCATATGCAGCCACTTTACACAGCTTCACAGTAATCAAACCTTATGATGCAGGTATTACCCCAGAATTTTAGATGTAGAAACTGAGTCCCATGGTGGCTAAGTAACTCACAGAAAATCATAGTGGAGCTGGAATTTGAACTTTAGACCAATTTGAAAGCTTCTTACCTTGTCACTATTACACTAGATACCAATGACCCTCAATACCAAATAGAGACAGCTATACTCTGTGGGGGTTCCTCAGTGTAACACAGTGAGACCTCATTTTATCATAGTTAACTATAGGGCAGCAATCCACATGAAGGTAGCCCATTTTCTACCCCACCCACGAAGAATTAGCTACTACTGCACCAAAATCGATTTTCATATATAAAATAATAGAGGATTCTATCAAAATGCCAACAGCATTCTTCAATAAACTAGAAAAAATAGTTCTAAAATTCATATGGAGCCACAGAAGACCCCAAATAGCTAAAGCAATCCTGAGAAGGAAGAATAAACCTGGGAGGATTATGCTCCCCAACTTCAAGCTCTACTACAAAGTCACAGTAATCAAGACAATTTGGTATTGGTACAAGATCTGACCTGTAAATCAATAGAAGAGAATAGATAGCCCAGATATAAACCCAAGCATATGTGGTCAATTAGTATACGATAAAGGAGCCATGGATATACAATGGGGAAAAGACAGGCTCTTCAACAACTGGTGTTGGCAAAACTGGACAGCTACATGTAAGAGAATGAAACTGGATTACTGTCTAATTCCATACACAAAAATAAACTCGAAATGGATCAAAAACCTGAACGTAAGTCATGAAACCATAAAACTCTTAGAAGAAAACATAGTCAAAAATCTCTTGAATATAAATATGAGCAACTTTTTCCTGAACACATCTTCTCAGGCAAGGGAATCAAAAGCAAAAATAAACAAATGAGACTACAGCAAGCTAAAAAGCTTCTGTACAGCAAAGGACACCATTAGAACAAAAAGGCATCCTACAGTATGGGAGAATATATTTGTAAAAGACATACCCAACAAGGGGTTAACATCCAAAATATATAAAGAACTCACATGCCTCAACACCCAAAAGGTAAATAACCCAATTAAAAAATAGTTGGAGGATATGAACAGACACTTCTCCAAAGATATGAAGAGATACTTCTTCAAAGAAGAAATTCATATGGCTGATAGGCACATGAAAAGTTCCACCACATTGCTAATCATAAAGGAATTGCAAATTAAAACCACAGTGAAATATCACCTCTCACCACTTAGGATGGCCGACATCCAAAAGACAAGGAACAACAAATACTGGCAAGGACGTGGAGAAAGAGGAACTCTCATACACAGTTGGTGGGAGTGTAAATTATTTCAACCATTGTGGAAAAGCAATATGGAGGTTCCTCAAAAAACTAAAAATAGAAATTCCATTTGACCTAGGAATTCCACTCCTAGGAATTTACCTGAAGAAAACAAGATACCAGATTCAAAAAGACACATGCACCCCTATGCTTATCACAGCACTGTTTACAATAGCCAAGATGTGGAAGCAATCTAAGTGTCCATCAGCAGATGGATGGATGAAGATGTGATACACATACACAATGGAATATTATGCAGCCATAAGAAGAAAACAAATCCTACTATTTGCAACAACATGGATGGAGCTAGAGGGTATTATGCTCAGTGAAATAAGCCAGGCAGAGAAAGAGCTTACCTGGACTCTCTGACAAATGATTTCCCTCACTTGTGGATTATAACAACAAAGCAAAACTGAAGGAACAAAACAGCAGCAGACTCACAGACTCCAAAAAAGGGACTAACATTTATCAAAGGGAGCAGTGGGGAAGGGCAGGTGGGGAGGGAGGGAGAAAGGGATGGAGGAGCATTATTATTGGCACACATGGTGTGTGTAGGGGGGCACAGGAAGGCAGTATAGCACAGAGAAGATAAGTATGACTCTGCGGAATCTTATGACACTGATGGACAGTGACTGCAGTGGGTATGCAGGGGACTTGATAATATGGGTGAATGTAGTAACCACCATTTGCTCATGTGAAAACTTCGTAAGATTGTACATCAATGATACCTTAAAAAAAAAAAGAATGGAGGATTTTATAACCACAAAGTACTAAAAGTTGGTTGGGTGCCTGTCCTCTGTGTTCCTTCTGCATCCTATTCTGTGATGTAATTTCCTGCTTACTTGTTAAAATTTTAGAAGACTCTAAGTCCCCTAAGACAGGGATAGTGTTTTGTTCAGTGATGCACTCCCAGAATCCAGTAGAGGGTCTGGCATGTAGTAGCTATGCAACACAATTTATTGAATGCATGGATGGATAGAGAGTAAAATAGTCTGTTCTTATGTTCTGGGTATAAAATCACAAATCACCAATATTTGTTGTCAGACTTCAGTAGTGTCCAACCCAAAGCAGTGTCAGTGTTCCTACCAATTATTTTATCTATCTATCTATCTATCTATCTATCTATCTATCTATCTATCTATCTATCTATCTATTTATCTATCTATCTATCTATCTATCTATCTATTTTGATATCATTAATGTACAATTACTTGAACAACATTATGGTTACTAGACTTCCCCTATTATCAAGCGTCCCTACCAATTTTAATGTCCACTGCTCTCAGTGGCACTGACAGGTAAGGGTGACAGAGGGCTATTGTGTTCTTTACCCTGTGAGAGAGACATGCTAATTGGAAAAAATCAGAGAATATGTGTGACAAAGAGTCAAGGATGGAACAGAATAGAGAGTCCAGAAATAAACTCATGCATGTATGGGCAATTAATGTTTTACAAAGGAGCCAAGAACATAAGATCTTCTCTTCAATAAATGGTGCTGGAAAACCTAGATACCTGCATGCAAAAGAATGAAACTGTATTCCTTTCTTATACCATAAACAAAAGTCAGCTCAAAATGGACTAAAAACTTAAATTTAAGACCAGATGCCATAAAACTCATAGAAAAAACACAGGGGTAAGCTCTTTAACATCAGTCTTGGCAATACTTTTTTGGATTTGACACTAACAGCAAAGACAACAAACAGAGCTACATTAAACTAAAAAGCTACTGCACTGCAAAGGAAACCATCAACAAAATGTAAAAGCAACCTATGGAATGGGAGAAAATATTAGCAAAGATTATGTTATTCAGTCTTGAAAAAGAAGGAAACCTGACATTTTTGACAACATGGATGAATCTGTAGGGCATTATGCTTAAGTGAAATAAGCCATACAGAGAAAAACAGTCAAACTCAAAGAAACAGAGAGTAGAAAGGTGGTTGCCAGGGGCTGGGGAAAGTAAGGAGAGGTTGGCAAAAGGGTACAACCTCTCAGCTGTAAGATGAATAAGGTACGAGGATCTAATGTAAAACATGGTGACTGTAGTTAATAACACTGTGTTATATAATTGAAATTTACTAAGAGAGTAGCACTTAAGGGTTCTCATTAAAAAAATGGGTAAAGGGGCGGAGCCAAGATGGCGGCGTGAGTAGAGCAGTGGAAATCTCCTCCCAAAAACACATAGAGCTATGAAAATATAACAAAGAAAAATCTTCCTAAAATAGAGACCACAGGACACAGGACAACATCCAGACCACATCCACACCTGCAAGAACCCAGCGCCTTGTGAAGGGGGTAAGATACAAGCCCCAGCCCGGCGGGACCCGAGCGCCCCTCCCCCCGGCTCCCGGCGGGTGGAGAGAAACCGGAGCGGTTTTTTTTTTTTTGGCGAGCGCTTTTTGGAAGCCTTAGAGGGACGGGCCCCCGTTGCTGGGGAGGCAGGGTGGCGGGACCGGTGAGGAGGTGCCTGGGAACGGCGCCGGAGGACAAAGAATATCCCGCGTTTCTCCCTGCGAGACCTGGGGGCGGGTGCCTGAGACCGGTGCCTGAGGACGGAGGAGGTCGCGCGTTTTTCCCCTTTTTTTTTTTTTCTCTTTTTGGCGAGCGCTTTTTGGAAGCCTTGAAGGGACGGGGACCCCAGTGCTAGGGAGGCACGGTGGCGGGACTGGTGAGCGGGTGGCTGGGACCGGCGCCTGAGGACAAAGAATATCCCCCGTTTTTCCCTGCGGGACCGGTGGGCGGGTGCCTGAGACCGGCACTTGAGGACAGAGGAAATCGCGCGTTTTTCCCCTTTTTTTTTTCTCTTTTCTGCGAGTGCTTTTTGGAAGCCTAAAAGGGACAGGGACCCCGGTGCTAGGGAGGCAGGGCGGCGGGACTGGTGAGCGGGTGCCTGGGACCGGCACCTGAGGACAAAGAATATCCCGCATTTTTCCCTGTGGGACCGGTGGGTGGGTGCCTGAGACCAGCACCTGAGGACGGAAGAAATCGCGCGTTTTTCCCCTTTTTTTTCTCTCTTTTTGCCGAGTGCTTTTTGGAAGCCTTGAAGGGACAGGGACCCCGGTGCTAGGGAGGCAGGGCGGCGGGACTGGTGAGCGGGTGCGTGGGACCAGTGCCTGAGGACAAAGAATATTGAGCGTTCCTTCCCTGCGGGACCGGTGGGTGGGTGCTTTTTGGAAGCCTTGAAAGGACAGGGACCCTGGTGCTAGGGAGACAGGGCAGCAGGACCAGTGCGCGGGTGCCTGGGACCGGCACCTGGGGAAAAAAAAAAAAAAATCGCGTGTTTTTTCTTTTTTTTTTCCTTTCTGTTCCCTCTCTCATTGTTGCTGTTGTTGTTTTGGTTTGGAGAGTGCTTTTTGGAAATCTTAAAGGGGCAGGACAGGTCACTTAGACCAGAAGCAGGGAATCTGGGGATCTCTGGGCACTCTAACCCCCTGGGCAGCAGGGAGCACAGAGGCCCCTTACGGAGATAAATAGTCTCCTGGCTGCTCCCCCTCCAACGGGGCTCCACCATTTTGGAGGAACAGCCCCAGCCAGGCCAAGCCCACAGCAACAGCGGAGATAAACCCCAAAGCAACTGGGCAGGAAGCAGAAGCCCTGTCTGCGCACAGCTGCCCAGCACAAGCCACTAGAGGTCGCTATTCTCCCAGGAAAAGGCTACAAACCAACAAGAAGGGAAGCTCTTCCAGCGGTCACTTGTACCAGCTCTGCAAACTATCTCTATCACCATGAAAAGGCAAAACTACAGGCAGACAAAGATCACAGAGACAACACCTGAGAAGGAGACAGACCTAACTAGTCCTCCTGAAAAAGAATTCAAAATAAAAATCATGAACATGCTGACAGAGATGCAGAAAAAAATGCAAGAGCAATGGGATGAGATGCAGAGAAAAATGCAAGAGCAGTGGGATGAGATGCAGAGAAAAATGCAAGAGCAGTGGGATGAAGTCCGGAAGGAGATCACAGATGTCAGGAAAGAGATCACAGAAGTGAAACAATCCCTGGAAGGATTTATAAGCAGAATGGATAAGATGCAAGAGGCCATTGAAGGAATAGAAGCCAGAGAACAGGAACGTATAGAAGCTGACATAGAGAGAGATAAAAGGATCTCCAGGAATGAAACAACACTAAGAGAAATATGTGACCAATACAAAAGGAAAAACATTCGTATTATAGGGATACCAGAAGAGGAAGAAAGAGGAAAAGGGATAGAAAGTGTCTTTGAAGAAATAATTGCTGAAAACTTCCCCAAACTGGGGGAGGAAATAATCGAACAGACCATGGAATTATACAGAACCCCCAACAGAAAGGATCCAAGGAGGACAACACCAAGACACATAATAATTAAAATGGCAAGGATCAAGGACAAGGAAAGAGTTTTAAAGGCAGCTAGAGAGAAAAAGGTCACCTATAAAGGAAAACCAATCAGGCTAACATCAGACTTCTCAACAGAAACCCTACAGGCCAGAAGAGAATGGCATGATATACTTAATGCAATGAAACAGAAGGGCCTTGAACCAAGGATACTGTATCCAGCACGACTATCATTTAAATATGATGGTGGGATCAAACAATTCCCAGACAAGCAAAAGCTGAGGGAATTTGCTTCCCACAAACCACCTCTACAGGGCATCCTACAGGGACTGCTCTAGATGGGAGCACCCCTAAAAAGAGCACAGAACAAAACACACAACATATGAAGAATGGAGGAGGAGGAATAAGAAGGGAGAGAAGAAAAGACTCTCCAGACAGTGTATATAACAGCTCAATAAGCGAGCTAAGTTAGGCAGTAAGATACTAAAGAAGCTAACCTTGAACCTTTGGTAACCACGAATCTAAAGCCTGCAATGGCAATAAGTACATATCTTTCAATAGTCACCCTAAATGTAAATGGACTTAATGCACCAATCAAAAGACATAGAGTAATAGAATGGATAAAAAAGCAAGACCCATCTATATGCTGCTTACAAGAAACTCACCTTAAACCCAAAGATAAGCATAGACTAAAAGTCAAGGGATGGAAAAACATATTTCAGGCAAACAACAGTGAGAAGAAAGCAGGGGTTGCAGTACTAATATCAGACAAAATAGACTTCAAAACAAAGAAAGTAACAAGAGATAAAGAAGGCCACTACATAATGATAAAGGGCTTAGTCCAACAAGAGGATATAACCATTCTAAATATATATGCACCCAATACAGGAGCACCAGCATATGTGAAGCAAATACTAACAGAACTAAAGAGGGAAATAGACTGCAATGCATTCATTGTAGGAGACTTCAACACACCACTCACCCCAAAGGATAGATCCACCGGGCAGAAAATAAGTAAAGACACACAGGCACTGAACAACACACTAGAACAGATGGACCTAATAGACATCTATAGAACTTTACATCCAAAAGCAACAGGATATACATTCTTCTCAAGTGCACATGGAACATTCTCCAGAATAGACCACATACTAGCTCACAAAAAGAGCCTCAGTAAATTCCACAATATTGAAATTCTACCAACCAATTTTTCAGACCACAAAGGTATGAAAGTAGAAATAAATTCTACAAAGAAAACAAAAAGGCTCACAAACACATGGAGGCTTAACAACATGCTACTAAATAATCAATGGATCAATGAACAAATCAAAATAGAGATCAAGGAATATATAGAAACAAATGACAACAACAACACTAAGCCCCAACTTCTGTGGGATGCAGCGAAAGCAGTCTTAAGAGGAAAGTATATAGCAATCCAGGCACACTTGAAGAAGGAAGAACAATCCCAAATGAATAGTCTAACATCACAATTATTAAAACTGGAAAAAGAAGAACAAATGAGGCCTAAAGTCAGCAGAAGGAGGGACATAATAAAGATCAGAGAAGAAATAAACAAAATTGAGAAGAATAAAACAATAGCAAAAATCAACGAAACCAAGAGCTGGTTCTTTGAGAAAATAAACAAAATAGATAAGCCTCTAGCCCAACTTATTAAGAGAAAAAGAGAGTCAACACAAATCAACATAATCAGAAATGAGAATGGAAAAATCACGACAGACTCCACAGAAATACAAAGAATTATTAAAGACTACTATGAAAACCTATATGCCAACAAGCTGGAAAACCTAGAAGAAATGGACAACTTCCTAGAAAAATACAACCTCCCAAGACTGACCAAGGAAGAAACACAAAAGTTAAACAAACCAATTACAAGCAAAGAAATTGAAACAGTAATCAAAAAACTACCCAAGAACAAAACCCCGGGGCCGGACGGATTTACCTCGGAATTTTATCAGACACACAGAGAAGACATAATACCCATTCTCCTTAAAGTGTTCCACAAAATAGAAGAAGAGGGAATACTCCCAAACTCATTCTATGAAGCCAACATCACCCTAATACCAAAACCAGGCAAAGACCCCACCAAAAAAGAAAATTACAGACCAATATCCCTGATGAATGTAGATGCAAAAATACTCAATAAAATATTAGCAAACAGAATTCAACAGTATATCAAAAGGATCATACACCATGACCAAGTGGGGTTCATCCCAGGGATGCAAGGATGGTACAACATTCGAAAATCCATCAACATCATCCACCACATCAACAAAAAGAAAGACAAAAACCACATGATCATCTCCATAGATGCTGAAAAAGCATTTGACAAAATTCAACATCCATTCATGATAAAAACTCTCAGCAAAATGGGAATAGAGGGCAAGTACCTCAACATAATAAAGGCCATATATGATAAACCCACAGCCAGCATTATACTGAACAGCGAGAAGCTGAAAGCATTTCCACTGAGATCGGGAACCAGACAGGGATGCCCACTCTCCCCACTGTTATTTAACATAGTACTGGAGGTCCTAGCCACGGCAATCAGACAAAACAAAGAAATACAAGGAATCCAGATTGGTAAAGAAGAAGTTAAACTGTCACTATTTGCAGATGATATGATACTGTACATAAAAAACCCTAAAGACTCCACTCCAAAACTACTAGAACTGATATCGGAATACAGCAAAGTTGCAGGATACAAAATCAACACACAGAAATCTGTAGCTTTCCTATACACTAACAACGAATCAATAGAAAGAGAAATCAGGAAAACAATTCCATTCACCATTGCATCAAAAAGAATAAAATACCTAGGAATAAACCTAACCAAGGAAGTGAAAGACTTATACTCTGAAAACTACAAGTCACTCTTAAGAGAAATTAAAGGGGACACTAATAAATGGAAACTCATCCCATGCTCATGGCTAGGAAGAATTAATATCGTCAAAATGGCCATCCTGCCCAAAGCAATATACAGATTTGATGCAATCCCTCTCAAATTACCAGCAACATTCTTCAATGAATTGGAACAAATAATTCAAAAATTCATATGGAAACACCAAAGACCCCGAATAGCCAAAGCAATCCTGAAAAAGAAGAATAAAGTAGGGGGGATCTCACTCCCCAACTTCAAGCTCTACTACAAAGCCATAGTAATCAAGACAATTTGGTACTGGCACAAGAACAGAGCCACAGACCAGTGGAACAGATTAGAGACCCCAGAAATTAACCCAAACATATATGGTCAATTAATATTTGATAAAGGAGCCATGGACATACAATGGCAAAATGACAGTCTCTTCAACAGATGGTGCTGGCAAAACTGGACAGCTACATGTAGGAGAATGAAACTGGACCATTGTCTAACCCCATATACAAAGGTAAACTCAAAATGGATCAAAGACCTGAATGTAAGTCACGAAACCATTAAACTCTTGGAAAAAAACATAGGCAAAAACCTCTTAGACATAAACATGAGTGATCTCTTCTTGAACATATCTCCCCGGGCAAGGAAAACAACAGCAAAAATGAGCAAGTGGGACTACATTAAGCTGAAAAGCTTCTGTACAGCGAAAGACACCATCAATAGAACAAAAAGGAACCCTACAGTATGGGAGAATATATTTGAAAATGACAGATCTGATAAAGGCTTGACGTCCAGAATATATAAAGAGCTCACACGCCTCAACAAACAAAAAACAAATAACCCAATTAAAAAATGGGCAGAGGAACTGAACAGACAGTTCTCCAAAAAAGAAATACAGATGGCCAAGAGACACATGAAAAGATGCTCCACATCGCTAATTATCAGAGAAATGCAAATTAAAACTACAATGAGGTATCACCTCACACCAGTAAGGATAGCTGCCATCCAAAAGACAAACAACAACAAATGTTGGCGAGGCTGTGGAGAAAGGGGAACCCTCCTACACTGCTGGTGGGAATGTAAATTAGTTCAACCATTGTGGAAAGCAGTATGGAGGTGCATCAAAATGCTCAAAACAGACCTACCATTTGACCCAGGAATTCCACTCCTAGGAATTTACCCTAAGAACGCAGCAATCAAGTTTGAGAAAGACAGATGCACTCCTATGTTTATCGCAGCACTATTTACAATAGCCAAGAATTGGAAGCAACCTAAATGTCCATCTGTAGATGAATGGATAAAGAAGATGTGGTACATATACACAATGGAATACTACTCAGCCATAAGAAGTGGAAAAATCCAACCATTTGCAGCAACATGGATGGAGCTGGAGAGTATTATGCTCAGTGAAATAAGCCAAGCGGAGAAAGAGAAATACCAAATGATTTCACTCATCTGAGGAGTATAGGAACAAAGGAAAAACTGAAGGAACAAAACAGCAGCAGAATTACAGAACCCAAAAATGGACTAACAGGTACCAAAGGGAAAGGAACTGGGGAGGATGGGTGGGCAGGGAGGGATAAGGGGGGGGAAGAAGAAGGGGGGTATTAAGATTAGCATGCATGGGGGGGAGGGAGAAAGGGGAGGGTGGGCTGCACAACACAGAGAGGACAAGTAGTGACTCTACAACATTTTGCTAAGCTGATGGACAGTAACCGTAATGTGGTTGTTAGGGGGGACCTGATATAGGGGAGAGCATAGTAAACATAGTATTCTTCAGGTAAGTGTAGATTAAAAATTTAAAAAAAAAAAAGAAAGAAAGAAAGAAAAGGGGGATTACTCCTTAACAGGATAAAACTATTGGTAAATCAAAGATCAACGCATGCTTTAAATATCCTTAATGTTGATCACTTAAAGGGTGTCAGATGATCAGCTATGGAGGTACTCTTTTCTGATAATATTCCTTTCTCTTTATTAAAAAAAAAAAAAAAAGCAGTTACTGTGTGCTGACCTCCAATGAGTTCTGCACAGTGGTATAGAGGGCATGTCAAAGTGTGGGCAAAGGGTCTGTTTGTTTCTACGCAGAAGATCAAGGCCTAGCTTGGATACCCAGAAAATGAACTAAGATACGATATGAGGAGGAGCTTCCGGCATCAGCACTCTCTGGAGGACTCGTGCCGGGGGATGATCATCAAAAAGCCTCCACAGGGATCCGGACGATGCTGCGGTTGTGGCTGCATCCAGCCCACCGTCTCCTGGACTTGCCATAAGAAGGAGGAGGGAGATGTCTAGGCTGGCATGTGCATACAGTGAGACAACGAATTTGACTGGATCTGTACTGTTGGAACTCAACCAGGAGTTGGGAGGGGTGCAAGTTGTAGCACCCCAAAATCTCATGACTATAGACTATCTATGGTTAAAAGAACATATGGGATGTGAACAGATCCCAGAAATGGGCTGCTTTAATTTGTCTGATGGTTCAAGTACAGTTGGAAAATATCCATCATATCATAGATAAATTTTCACAAATGCCTAGGGTGCCTAAATGGTTTTCTTGGCTTCACTGGAGATGGCTGGTAATTATAGATTTGCTTTGTTTATGTCACCGTATTCCTATTATGTTAATATGTGTGTGCAAATTAGTTAGTAGTTTAAAACCTATACATACTTAAGGTACTATACAAGAAGATATGTCAAAGAAATAATCAATCCTCCCAAGTTTCCTTCATATGCTACATCTATAGCTTTTCTTCTTCCTTCCTAATTACAAACCTTAAATAGAATTCGTGCCTCATATCGAATTTACCGAGTATCATAATTCCTCCAGGTGGTAAAGATACCTCGAGACAAGTGCTGGGCATAGAAGCCACAGGGCATAAATCTGCAAAGAAGTAAAAAGCTAACCTTTGCAAACAATATGGCTTCTCTCTCACTTACCAACTTTACATTTCCCTGTATGGCCCCGGAAGATGACTGGTTAGCCAGAGACGGGTAAGATTCCTCAAGGGAGGAACAACCTAAGACAGGCACAGTCGCAGGGGGGCCATCAGGTGAGAATTTGGGGATCAACAGAGGTGAGGCTCAGAACCTCACCCCCCCTGCTTTGAGAGAAATCTTCTGCATCCGTGGATGTCTTGCTGCCCTTGTCTAGCCTGGATTAATACTTAGTCCATAGGCACACACCTGATCATCTGATCATCTACATTTGCCTTCTTACAGCACTAAACTATGTTTTCTACCTTTATCTTGCATCTACCTACCACTTCAGCATTTTATTAAAAATAAAAATAATAATAATAATAGGAGAAATGTGGGATCAACATATAAATCAAGTACAAAAATCAAATGAATATTCATATTTGACCTGATGGTTTATAGGTCATATTGCATGATCAAAACCGAAAGTTTCTGTGATGAATGCCCTTGTACTGTTCACCATGTAAGAATTTATTCACTCTGTAAGAATTCGTTCACCATGTAAGAACTTGTTCGTTATGCTTCAGAAGATTGGAGACTGACGAGAATTAGGCTTGAGATGGATTAATGATTGTACATTGAGCATTGACCCCCCTATACTGAATTTTATTGTTGTTAACAACCATTTGATCAATAAATATGAGAGATGCCCTCTCAAAAAAAAAAAAAAAATGGGTAAATATGTGAGGTGATGGATGTGTTAGTTAATTTAATGGTGGGAATTCTGTCATAATATATGTATGTATCAAATCATCACACTGCACTTTAAATATATTACAAAAAAGTTTTAATGAATTTTCTGAGTGAGAAAAAAAAAGAGTCAAGAAAAAATTCTACCTCATTCAATGTTGGTTTTTCATTTTTCATTGTTGAAGAACTGATAATCTCTGAATTTTTTAAAAGGGTAGGCTGTTTCTGCAGAGTAGAAGCAAACCCTACCTTTTCCTAAAACTGAATGTAAAGAGAATATTTTTCAGTTGATCAACTGCAATTAATTAATCTACTCATAACTGATCCAACCCAACAGTAAAACTCCCACCTGTGTGAAAAGCATTTTCATCTTCAGAAAGGGGGTATGGTATGGCTATGGCATGTAGGAGAAAGATTGGTAAGGAGCTATATAGGTGTCCTTAGCCTAGACCAGGCCTGATCCCTTAGTCTGGACCAGCTCTAGTCAGCACTTTTCTAGTACCACCTCTTTTCCCTGGAAAACTTGGTAAAACCCATACTTGCTATGCCAGAGTGTAGTAGAGTATCGGTGGGCCAAGGCTGAAAGTTGCTCAGAGATGTTCAGAGGACTCATGAAAGAACTCCAAACTCGAAATAGAAAGCTTCTCCCTCCTATTCCCCATTCCTTTTTTTGGTTTAGAGAAAACCTTAAGCCCTTGTCCTGCTCCTTCTATGGAATTCTCTTTAACCAGATAGTAGAAGCAAGCAACAACGCTTTCTTACTGGGGCATCTTCTGTTAACTTTAACTCCTGCATCAAATTATTTTTCTGATACTGTTCATTTCGCTGTTTTCTGGTCTGAAGTGGCTTCCCTTTTTTCTTCTTATACATCATCTTCTTTTGACTCAACTATTCCAGAAAATACAGAAAAACTAATTGTTGAGGATTCAGAGGAACAACCCACCCACATGTAACATTCGTTTCACACAGCACTCAAGACAATGGCTAACACAGTATGGAAGCCCTTGTAATGGTCAATTACTGCAGTTTGGAGAACAAAAAGTTCAGTTACCTCCTTATTATAGGCCACTCGCTATTTAACTCCCCAAATCCTACTACTATAGGTAAACTGCTAAAGGGGCACCTATACCAATAATTAAATGTCTGTGATTTATAATATGAAACCAGATTACTTGTGGTAATAATGTCGGATAGAGATAATACTGATTATTAGATGTGTGGTTAAAAGATTCAGTTTGGCTGTTATCACAGGTACATTAATTATTAAGCAAATGAAGCTCAGGACTAATTTTTTCAGGTACCTATGGTGTGGTGAAGCTTATACTGAAGTTGCTGTAAATTCAATGAAAGTAGTTGTAGGGTCCTGTCTAATTTGGCTGGTTCCTCCTGATACAGCCTTAATCTCACCCAATGATGGAGATATTTCTTAATGCAACTAGGAAATCATATGCATAATGAACCACAACAAATATTTTGTTGTTTCTAAGGCTCTTTTATCATTTTTGTAAGAAAAAGTCTGTGAACAGATGGGACAAAAAATATTATTTAACATATATAAGTATAAAAAACTAAGACTACACAAATAAAGAAATACTTAGAAAAAAAAAGGATGGGTCATTTGTAACAACCTCTACCTCTTAATATGGTTTTCACTTTTAGTTAAACTTATCCCCCACTTTCAGTTAACTTTGGGATAAATACGGAATCCTTACATTTCTTTCTCTAGATTTTTTATTAAGTTATAATGGACAAAATGAAAGACTCCAAGGCAGGGTAACCAGTTAGGATGCTACTGCTATATTTTCTCTAGACCTTAGGATAGCTGGAAAATTCCACCAAATTATGCAATAGTGTCCTGCTTTTCTTAAGGTTGCTACTTCCTGGCTGCAGGAGTTTATACAATCTCACCTCATCTACTGTGTTCAGTAGGTGAACAGGGAGACCATCTGAGAAGGAGCTGTCAGAGCCACTGGTGCTGTTCTCAAAGGAAAGAAGAAAGGGAAATACCTGTTATTAATGTCTAGGAGTTTAATACTTGTTAGACCAGCCACATGGGATTAGGATATCCAGTCTGCTATTTGCCTGCACTGTCTGTTTCAGTTACTAAGAATCTTGACAAGCATATTTATTCATTCATTATAAACACCCACTGCATGCCAGGCAGTGCATCAGGCACAGGAAACAGAAATGAACATGGCCGAGCCCGACCCCTAGGAATTCACAATCCATGTGGCAAAATAAAGACTGGCCAGATTGGCAAAGCTGCCATTTGTGATGATTTTGAGAGGCTATGGGATTCTTAGCGTGCAGCCCTAGAGAATACCAGGGGACTTTGATTTTTTTGAAAGCAGGGGCTTTGTTTCATTCATTCCTGTTTGGCTAGTAACAGCTCAGAAAGCAAGAATCCTACTATGTACTCTTTAAAAATGTGTTGAATATATACATAAATATATTTAATAACAAAGAATCTATATGTTAGAGACTAGGAGTATTATTTATTTATTTATTTTTGAGAGGGCATCTCTCATATTTATTGATCAAATGGTTGTTAACAACAATAAAATTCAGTATAGGGGGGTCAACGCTCAATGTACAATCATTAATCCATGTCAAGCCTAATTCTCGTCAGTCTAGGAGTATTATTTTTTTATCAGTCAATTCCCCCTTCAAAAGTTTTGGATGCACACTGATCTAAAGTCTTCCCTACAAACTGTCTCCTCCCCCTTTCTTCAAGGGCAAAGATGAATGAGGACTCAGATAATCAATCCTTTCTTCCTTCATCATGTCTTTTGTTTAAGTGTCACATTATATTTTTCCCTTTCCTGGAGTGTGGTTGGCTACATCTGAGAGCTACGATCTATGACACAAAAAAGTCTTAGACACAAAACTCAAATCTCCTGGGAAAACACAGCATTTCAAACCATTCTTATACTCAGGCCTTTCATACTCCCCCTCCCTCCTTGCAGTGCATACTCCCCCTCCCTCCTTGCAGTGCACAATGAGGAGCTCCACAGCAAGACAGCAGGCAGACAGTCTTCTCTTCTTTGATCTAATCCCCAATTTGCTAGATGGAGTCCCATGGAAGCTTGTGATAGCCAGCTTCCTGTGAGGCAAAGACTGGCAAATTGGCTTCAAAACTTCTTAACTAAATGTATCAGAGTATCCCTGCTGGGGCTGTTAAAATGCAGTCTGGCCATTTCTGAGTTGATTCCCCCTGGGCTCTGTAAGTTTGCATTGAGATGCAGGGGGTATTTCACTTTTGAGGCTGAAAGTGAAGAGGGGTTGCTGCAATGGTCCTTGACAGGCAAAGGATTCTGGAAGAGTGGAAGAGGTGACATATGAATGGGGCATATGTTATTGTTTGGCTTTAGGTTCCTAAGAAGACATTTGGGAGACTCAGCCAGCAGAACTACTCTAGGGCCCAGATGTCCATGTGCCACATAGAGTGTGTAGGAGAGCCATCCTCTTCCTACTGGTCACCACAAACTACTCTACAGCCTCTGGCAGAAGAAACCTTCTGAGTGAGGGCAGCTGGGGCAGGTTTGAGGCACCCTGGCTGTAGTAGGGGTTCTTACATACTTGTGAGATGCCCACCTCCCTGGGGGTCTCCTAAAACAGGCTGAGATCCTACATACTAAATTAACTCAAAGAATATTTATTGAGCCCTCCCTATATGCCAGTTACTGTTCTAGGTGCAGGAGATAGAGAGATAAACAAACCAAAGACCTCTGACCTTGTGGAACCCATATCCTAGTAGGGGGAGATAGATAATAAAAATATCAATGACAGTATAGAATGACAGAAAGTGATAAAATGCTATGAAAAAAGTAGACTACCTAAGGGGGATAGGGAATAACAGAAGGGCGATGGCTGGGAAATAAGTTACAGTCTTAGGGTAATGAAGGTAGGTCACATTGAAAAAGTTGGCATTTAAGTAAAGACTTGAAGGTGAAGGAATTAGACAGGTGGATCTCTGTGGGGAGAGCATTACAGGCAGCTAGGATTGCCAGTGTGAAGGCCATGAAGAATAAGTCTGGCAAGTCTGAGGAAGAATAAGGACAGTGTAGCTGTAGCAGTAAACAAGAGGGTGATGGCAGAGGTCACAGAGGTATCAGGTCACTAGATCCTATAGCCTTGTAGGCCACTATATGGTCCATGACTTTCTATGTGAGTGAGTTAGGGGAACCACTGAGGTATTTTAACAGAGGAAATACATGATCTGATCTACATTTTGAAAAGAACCATTCTCCTAGTTTTCTTTTGGCCTTGCTGGTCCCTTCTTAGCCTCATCTGTTGGCTCTTCCTTACCTCCTTGACCTCCTACAGCTGTGGTACCTGGCTCAGACTGGAGCCTCCTCTTCACTCTGTTTGCACTTACCCCCTTGGAATCTCATCCAGTCTTAAGGTTTGAACCATCTATTCAGTAATGACTCTCTCTGAGAGTATAGACTTCTCCAGTAAACTGCAAACTAACATATCCAACCACCTATTCAATATCTCCATTTAGATGTCTAATAAACCCCCTCAAACTGAACATGCCCAACACTAGACTCCTGAACTTCATCAGCACCCAACCTTCTCCATCACCTTGATATTCCCCATCTCAGTTAAGGCTACTCCATCCAACCAATTATGGAGTCATTCTCTTTTCCTCTCATACCCAAATCCAATCCAAAAGCAAATCCTAATGTTTAAAATTTCAAAAAATATCTGGAATTCAACCAATTCACACCCCTCCAACCTGTCTGGTCTAAACCACCATCACCTTTCAACTGTATTATTACAAGAGCCTCCTAATGAGTGTCCCTGCTTAGACCTTTCCTCTTCACAATCTGTTTTCCACATAGCAGCCAGAGCATTCCTGCTGAAACTAAAACCTAAGTGACATCATGACACTTCTCTACTTAAAACCTTCCAAAGGCTCTCCATGTCCCTTGGAGTAAAAGACAAAGGCTTTACAACTGCCTACAAGGCACTATACAAACTGCCTGCCCATCTCCCGAACCCTTTCTAATGTCTGCCTACAAAAGACACTGTCAAAGAACAGGCACTCAATTCACAGTTATTGAAGGAATGAAGTGTATTTAAGTATGACATGATTTACTCAATATTTTGCACCTCAGGTTCAAAAACAACAAAACAAATGAAAACTAAAAGTAAAAAAAAGAACTTCTCTCATTTTTCTTTGAAATGGTACCTGGATCCAATGTCAGACAAAGAGATGTCACTCCAACTTCCTTCTAAATCCATATCTTGACCAAGTTCATTGAATTTCTTATGTATTTTCTGTTGTAAGAGCTCTTTAACCTCTGCTAGACACTGCATGAACTGTGGAAATGAAAAAAGAACCTTTCTTTTGATTATTCATTTATTCGTCAAATATTTAATAGGTATATGGCTAGAAGGTACTTTATTTTTTGTTGGGCACATAAAGATGAATAAGCTGTAACCTGTTACTAAGGACATTTTAACAAATACATGAGCTATAGGAACAGACAGAAGTGTTTTTAGGGCTGAACATCAATGAACACTGCTTTAACCACTTTTCCCTGGATATAGCAAATAATAAACTTAAACAATGCAAAGGTCTGATTTATTTATTTATTTATTTATTTGATAGCAAGGAAGAAGTGCTGGAATGGGGTTGTTCATATTTTGGCCTATGGCAAATTTGATTTAACAGGCCATGTTGTGGTCACATTCTCTTGCAAGTACTTTTTATTAAACAGTTGCAGTTAGAATGGTGCATATCATGTTTCTAGGGCCAACATTTCAGAGTGGGTATAAGAGATGTTAGAGACCATGAGTATAGATTCCCTTAAGAAGATGAGTGATGAAGGAAAGTAGAAATAACCTGTTGGAGAAACAAGGCCAAAGGAAACCTTTGTTGGTGATTTAGGACAGGGGCAGCTTGAGAACATTTGCAGTTGAGAGGAAGAAGTAAGAAGAGGAAAAAACTGAGGACACAGAAAAGAGAGAAGGTTAACAAATGAGTCAAGATCTCAGGAAGACCAAGGGGATGTTGTTAAGTGCACTAAGGGCAGGCTTAGTTTTGGAGAAGAGAAAGGACATCTGTTTATCTGAAATAGGAGAAAGGGAAGTAAGAATTGGTGGTGCTTCCATGATGAAACCTAGAAGTGAGAGAGAGATGTGCTGAAGGAAAGCTGGCATGATAGCTTCTCTCTTCTTGGTGACTTAATGAGGTCTAACTATTAGCTCAGAGGCTGGGAGCTTCCTTATTTTCTTTGATTATAGAAACTTCAGAAAAATATTAAGAGGAAAGTAAAGATGATCTTTAACCTCACTGGGCTGACTTTGGACCCATGTGAAACTTACACAGTGGCATCACATTTCTTGAGCTCCATTTTCACCTTGGTTGGGTCAGGATCACAGAAATCCAGAAGGGGGTCACAGACATGATGACCTAGGGACTTCAGATCGTCAGTGGTAAAGTGCGTGTCCCTTTTATTGCCTGGAAAAAAAATCCATACAATTTCCTTTTAAATTTCAATGAGCAAATGCAAATCTAATTCATGAATATCTCATTAAAAACACTACCTCTGCTTCTAGAATATTACACTTCTGGACATAGTCTCCTTCTAGTTTTAGTGTGATTCAGAAGAATCTTTGATAATGAAAACATTACAATTTTAATGGCTATACTTATTGAAGTTTTATTTTGTGGTAGTTACTATGCAAAGTGCTTTACATATACTGTCTCACTAAGTAGTTCCTATAATGCATGTACTATTATTATTGCCAGTTACAGAAAAATGAGGTTCAAAGAGTTAAATAACTTACTCAGGATCACACAACATGTAAATAGACCTGGAATTCAAACCCAGATCTGACTGATTCCAGATCCTGAGCAACCACTGTGCTATACGGCCCCATCAGTTATTATACTACACACTCATATTTTGTGTACTCAAATTTAGCACAAGGTACAAACAAAAAAATCTTCTAGATCAGTTACCTCCCCAACACCCAAACAAATTTCATGTCCCCAGTGCTTTGCTTGGTTTCACCTTGCCATGATGGCCTATGATATATGAAAGACAGCTTACCCAAGGTGGACCCGCCAAAGGTAGACTCCATGGTGTAGCTGTTTAGGATTCCCATCCGCCACATCACAACTCGTCCTGTTCCTTCTTTGCACCTTTGGACCTTAAAATTGCAACTACGAAAAGAGAACTAAGGAGAAAACCAAATCCTCCGTTAATCATAAACTGGCCAAAGTAATATGTTTAAGGTTCATTAACATGATACAAGAATAACAGCATAATAAGTGAGTTAAAGTTAGACAGATAGTAAAGAAGCTATGCTTGAACCTTTGGTAACCATGAATCCAAAGCCTGCAATGGCAATAAGTACATATCTATCGATAATCACCCTANAAGAATCTATATGTTAGAGACTAGGAGTATTATTTATTTATTTATTTTTGAGAGGGCATCTCTCATATTTATTGATCAAATGGTTGTTAACAACAATAAAATTCAGTATAGGGGGGTCAACGCTCAATGTACAATCATTAATCCATGTCAAGCCTAATTCTCGTCAGTCTAGGAGTATTATTTTTTTATCAGTCAATTCCCCCTTCAAAAGTTTTGGATGCACACTGATCTAAAGTCTTCCCTACAAACTGTCTCCTCCCCCTTTCTTCAAGGGCAAAGATGAATGAGGACTCAGATAATCAATCCTTTCTTCCTTCATCATGTCTTTTGTTTAAGTGTCACATTATATTTTTCCCTTTCCTGGAGTGTGGTTGGCTACATCTGAGAGCTACGATCTATGACACAAAAAAGTCTTAGACACAAAACTCAAATCTCCTGGGAAAACACAGCATTTCAAACCATTCTTATACTCAGGCCTTTCATACTCCCCCTCCCTCCTTGCAGTGCATACTCCCCCTCCCTCCTTGCAGTGCACAATGAGGAGCTCCACAGCAAGACAGCAGGCAGACAGTCTTCTCTTCTTTGATCTAATCCCCAATTTGCTAGATGGAGTCCCATGGAAGCTTGTGATAGCCAGCTTCCTGTGAGGCAAAGACTGGCAAATTGGCTTCAAAACTTCTTAACTAAATGTATCAGAGTATCCCTGCTGGGGCTGTTAAAATGCAGTCTGGCCATTTCTGAGTTGATTCCCCCTGGGCTCTGTAAGTTTGCATTGAGATGCAGGGGGTATTTCACTTTTGAGGCTGAAAGTGAAGAGGGGTTGCTGCAATGGTCCTTGACAGGCAAAGGATTCTGGAAGAGTGGAAGAGGTGACATATGAATGGGGCATATGTTATTGTTTGGCTTTAGGTTCCTAAGAAGACATTTGGGAGACTCAGCCAGCAGAACTACTCTAGGGCCCAGATGTCCATGTGCCACATAGAGTGTGTAGGAGAGCCATCCTCTTCCTACTGGTCACCACAAACTACTCTACAGCCTCTGGCAGAAGAAACCTTCTGAGTGAGGGCAGCTGGGGCAGGTTTGAGGCACCCTGGCTGTAGTAGGGGTTCTTACATACTTGTGAGATGCCCACCTCCCTGGGGGTCTCCTAAAACAGGCTGAGATCCTACATACTAAATTAACTCAAAGAATATTTATTGAGCCCTCCCTATATGCCAGTTACTGTTCTAGGTGCAGGAGATAGAGAGATAAACAAACCAAAGACCTCTGACCTTGTGGAACCCATATCCTAGTAGGGGGAGATAGATAATAAAAATATCAATGACAGTATAGAATGACAGAAAGTGATAAAATGCTATGAAAAAAGTAGACTACCTAAGGGGGATAGGGAATAACAGAAGGGCGATGGCTGGGAAATAAGTTACAGTCTTAGGGTAATGAAGGTAGGTCACATTGAAAAAGTTGGCATTTAAGTAAAGACTTGAAGGTGAAGGAATTAGACAGGTGGATCTCTGTGGGGAGAGCATTACAGGCAGCTAGGATTGCCAGTGTGAAGGCCATGAAGAATAAGTCTGGCAAGTCTGAGGAAGAATAAGGACAGTGTAGCTGTAGCAGTAAACAAGAGGGTGATGGCAGAGGTCACAGAGGTATCAGGTCACTAGATCCTATAGCCTTGTAGGCCACTATATGGTCCATGACTTTCTATGTGAGTGAGTTAGGGGAACCACTGAGGTATTTTAACAGAGGAAATACATGATCTGATCTACATTTTGAAAAGAACCATTCTCCTAGTTTTCTTTTGGCCTTGCTGGTCCCTTCTTAGCCTCATCTGTTGGCTCTTCCTTACCTCCTTGACCTCCTACAGCTGTGGTACCTGGCTCAGACTGGAGCCTCCTCTTCACTCTGTTTGCACTTACCCCCTTGGAATCTCATCCAGTCTTAAGGTTTGAACCATCTATTCAGTAATGACTCTCTCTGAGAGTATAGACTTCTCCAGTAAACTGCAAACTAACATATCCAACCACCTATTCAATATCTCCATTTAGATGTCTAATAAACCCCCTCAAACTGAACATGCCCAACACTAGACTCCTGAACTTCATCAGCACCCAACCTTCTCCATCACCTTGATATTCCCCATCTCAGTTAAGGCTACTCCATCCAACCAATTATGGAGTCATTCTCTTTTCCTCTCATACCCAAATCCAATCCAAAAGCAAATCCTAATGTTTAAAATTTCAAAAAATATCTGGAATTCAACCAATTCACACCCCTCCAACCTGTCTGGTCTAAACCACCATCACCTTTCAACTGTATTATTACAAGAGCCTCCTAATGAGTGTCCCTGCTTAGACCTTTCCTCTTCACAATCTGTTTTCCACATAGCAGCCAGAGCATTCCTGCTGAAACTAAAACCTAAGTGACATCATGACACTTCTCTACTTAAAACCTTCCAAAGGCTCTCCATGTCCCTTGGAGTAAAAGACAAAGGCTTTACAACTGCCTACAAGGCACTATACAAACTGCCTGCCCATCTCCCGAACCCTTTCTAATGTCTGCCTACAAAAGACACTGTCAAAGAACAGGCACTCAATTCACAGTTATTGAAGGAATGAAGTGTATTTAAGTATGACATGATTTACTCAATATTTTGCACCTCAGGTTCAAAAACAACAAAACAAATGAAAACTAAAAGTAAAAAAAAGAACTTCTCTCATTTTTCTTTGAAATGGTACCTGGATCCAATGTCAGACAAAGAGATGTCACTCCAACTTCCTTCTAAATCCATATCTTGACCAAGTTCATTGAATTTCTTATGTATTTTCTGTTGTAAGAGCTCTTTAACCTCTGCTAGACACTGCATGAACTGTGGAAATGAAAAAAGAACCTTTCTTTTGATTATTCATTTATTCGTCAAATATTTAATAGGTATATGGCTAGAAGGTACTTTATTTTTTGTTGGGCACATAAAGATGAATAAGCTGTAACCTGTTACTAAGGACATTTTAACAAATACATGAGCTATAGGAACAGACAGAAGTGTTTTTAGGGCTGAACATCAATGAACACTGCTTTAACCACTTTTCCCTGGATATAGCAAATAATAAACTTAAACAATGCAAAGGTCTGATTTATTTATTTATTTATTTATTTGATAGCAAGGAAGAAGTGCTGGAATGGGGTTGTTCATATTTTGGCCTATGGCAAATTTGATTTAACAGGCCATGTTGTGGTCACATTCTCTTGCAAGTACTTTTTATTAAACAGTTGCAGTTAGAATGGTGCATATCATGTTTCTAGGGCCAACATTTCAGAGTGGGTATAAGAGATGTTAGAGACCATGAGTATAGATTCCCTTAAGAAGATGAGTGATGAAGGAAAGTAGAAATAACCTGTTGGAGAAACAAGGCCAAAGGAAACCTTTGTTGGTGATTTAGGACAGGGGCAGCTTGAGAACATTTGCAGTTGAGAGGAAGAAGTAAGAAGAGGAAAAAACTGAGGACACAGAAAAGAGAGAAGGTTAACAAATGAGTCAAGATCTCAGGAAGACCAAGGGGATGTTGTTAAGTGCACTAAGGGCAGGCTTAGTTTTGGAGAAGAGAAAGGACATCTGTTTATCTGAAATAGGAGAAAGGGAAGTAAGAATTGGTGGTGCTTCCATGATGAAACCTAGAAGTGAGAGAGAGATGTGCTGAAGGAAAGCTGGCATGATAGCTTCTCTCTTCTTGGTGACTTAATGAGGTCTAACTATTAGCTCAGAGGCTGGGAGCTTCCTTATTTTCTTTGATTATAGAAACTTCAGAAAAATATTAAGAGGAAAGTAAAGATGATCTTTAACCTCACTGGGCTGACTTTGGACCCATGTGAAACTTACACAGTGGCATCACATTTCTTGAGCTCCATTTTCACCTTGGTTGGGTCAGGATCACAGAAATCCAGAAGGGGGTCACAGACATGATGACCTAGGGACTTCAGATCGTCAGTGGTAAAGTGCGTGTCCCTTTTATTGCCTGGAAAAAAAATCCATACAATTTCCTTTTAAATTTCAATGAGCAAATGCAAATCTAATTCATGAATATCTCATTAAAAACACTACCTCTGCTTCTAGAATATTACACTTCTGGACATAGTCTCCTTCTAGTTTTAGTGTGATTCAGAAGAATCTTTGATAATGAAAACATTACAATTTTAATGGCTATACTTATTGAAGTTTTATTTTGTGGTAGTTACTATGCAAAGTGCTTTACATATACTGTCTCACTAAGTAGTTCCTATAATGCATGTACTATTATTATTGCCAGTTACAGAAAAATGAGGTTCAAAGAGTTAAATAACTTACTCAGGATCACACAACATGTAAATAGACCTGGAATTCAAACCCAGATCTGACTGATTCCAGATCCTGAGCAACCACTGTGCTATACGGCCCCATCAGTTATTATACTACACACTCATATTTTGTGTACTCAAATTTAGCACAAGGTACAAACAAAAAAATCTTCTAGATCAGTTACCTCCCCAACACCCAAACAAATTTCATGTCCCCAGTGCTTTGCTTGGTTTCACCTTGCCATGATGGCCTATGATATATGAAAGACAGCTTACCCAAGGTGGACCCGCCAAAGGTAGACTCCATGGTGTAGCTGTTTAGGATTCCCATCCGCCACATCACAACTCGTCCTGTTCCTTCTTTGCACCTTTGGACCTTAAAATTGCAACTACGAAAAGAGAACTAAGGAGAAAACCAAATCCTCCGTTAATCATAAACTGGCCAAAGTAATATGTTTAAGGTTCATTAACATGATACAAGAATAACAGCATAATAAGTGAGTTAAAGTTAGACAGATAGTAAAGAAGCTATGCTTGAACCTTTGGTAACCATGAATCCAAAGCCTGCAATGGCAATAAGTACATATCTATCGATAATCACCCTATATGTAAATGGACTGAATGCACCAGTCGAAAGACACAGAGTAATAGAATGGATAAAAAAGCAAGACCAACTATATGCTGCTAACAAGAGACTCACCTCAAACCCAAAGACATACACAGACTAAAAGAGAAGAGATGGAAAAAGATATTTCATGCAAACAATAGGGAGAAAAAAGCAGGTGCTGCAGTACTTGTATCAGACAAAATAGACTTCAAAACAGAGTAACAAGAGACAAAGAAGGACATTATGTAATGATAAAGAGGTCAGTCCAACAAGAGGATATAACCATTATAAATATATATGCACCCAACACAGGAGCACTGACATATGTGAAACAAACAACAACAGAATTAAAGGAGGAAATAGAATGCAATGCATTCATTTTAGGAGACTTTAACACAACACTCACTCCAAAGGACAGATCAACCAGACAGAAACTAAGTAAGGACACAGAGGCACTGAACAACACACAAGAACAGATGGACCTAACAGACATCTACAGAACTCTAAACCCAAAAGTAGCAGGATACACATTCTTCTACAGTGCACATGGAACATTCTCCAGAATAGACCACATACTAGGCCCCAAAAAGAGCCTCAGTAAATTCAAAAATATTGAAATTCTACCAACCAACTTTCCAGATCACAAAGGTATAAAACTAGAAATAAATTGTACAAAGAAAACAAAAAGGCTCACAAACACATGGAGGTTTAACAACATGCTCCTAAATAACCAATGGATCAATCACCAAATTAAAACAGAGATCAAGCAATATATGGGGACAAATGAAAATAACAGGACAATGCCCCAACTTCTGTGGGACTTAGTCAAGGCAGTTCTAAGAGGAAAGTACATAGCAATCCAGGCATATTTAAAGAAGGAAGAACAATCCCAAAAGAATAGTCTGAAGTCACAATTATTGAAACTGGAAAAAGAATAAATGAGGCACAAAGTCAGCAGAAGGAGGGACATAATAAAGATCAGAGAATAAATAAATAAAATTGAGAAGAATGAAACAATATAAAAAATCAATGAAACCAAGAGCTGGATCTTTGAGTAAAAAAGAATCTATACACATAAACATAATCAGAAATGACAAAGGAAAAATCATGACAGACACCACAGAAATACGAAGAATTATTAGAGAATACTATGAAAATATGCTAACAAACTGGTAACTTAGAACAAATGGACAGCTTTCTAGAAAAATACAACCTTCCAAGATTGACCAAGGAAGAAACAAAATCTAAACAGACCAATTACCAGCAATGAAACTGAATATGTAATCCAAAAACTATCCAAGAACTAAACGGCTGGTCCAGATGGATTCACTGCTGAATTTTATCAGACATTTAGAGAAGACATAATACCCATTCTCCTTACAGTTTTCCAAAAAAATAGAAGAGGAGGGAATACTTACAATCTCATTCTATGAAGCCAGCATTGCTCTAATACCAAAACCAGGCAAAGACTCCAGAAAGAAAGAAAATTACAGACCTGTATCTCTGATGAACATAGATGCAAAAATACTCAACAAAATATTAGCAAACCGAATTCAAAAATACATTAAGAGGATCATACACCATGATCAAGTGGGATTCATCATGGGAATGCAAGGATGGTAAAACATTAGAAAACCCATCAACATCATCCACCACATCAACAAAAGGACAAAAACCACATCATCATCTCCATAGATGCAGAAAAAGCATTCAACAAAATTCAACATGCATTCATGATAAAAACTCTCAACAAAATGGGTATAGAGGGCAAGAACCTCAACATAATAAAGGCTATATATGACAAACCCACAGCCAACATCATACCTAATAGCAAGAAGCTGAAAGCTTTTCCTTTAAGATTGGGAACAAGGCAAGGACGCCCACTCTCCCCACTGTTATTTAACATAGTACTAGAGGTCCTAGCCACGGCAATCAGACAAAACAAAGAAATACAAGGAATCCAGATTGGTAAAGAAGAAGTCTTTACCAATGCATCACTATTTGCAGATGACATGATATTGTACATAAAAAACCCGAAAGAATCCACTTCAAAACTACTAGTACTAGTATCTAAATTCAGCAAAGTTGCAGGATACAAAATTAACACACAGAAATCTGTAGCTTTCCTATACACTAACAATGAACCAATAGAAAGAGAAATCAGGAAAACAATTCCATTCACAATTGCATCAAAAAGAATAAAATACCTAGGAATAAA